ATCATTTTCACCGCACCAAACACAATAAAGCAAAGTATAATAGTCACAACAATCCCATAAATTTGCAAGTCATGTGTACTTATACTCTGTATAGGTTCTGAGACCGTGCCATTGACCTTTGTAGTGGTCTCTGCATTGCAAGCAAGACAATATTAGAAATGAATTGGTACAAAATTCTTTTCAACAGATTTAAATCCAAATCATGACAATTGCTATCAACAACCGGTATGCGCGGTAAAGAACAAGGTTATCAGCAATTGTGCTAGCAATTAATAATTACCAGTAAAAATCCCAGCAGAAGGAAGAGCTTTTAGAAAGGTTTCAACAGCTCCCAACACATAACTACAACCAAAACCAAAAGCGCAAGGAAGACAACGGTATTAGCATGAGTTGGATGTTGTTAAATAAATAACGCATTATGCTATCAGGGTAGCAAAATTTGCTGTGAGTTATGCAGAAAATAGTGCCATAAAAAAAAGCAAAGGACCAGAAGATACACTCACAGAGCTCCCGCAACTGCATTGCCAAGAAAGAAACATAACCCAATGCTAACTCCAACCTCAGGACCAAGGGCACGACCAATTTGATAATATGGACCACCACCCTGGCAGTAATTAACAAGAAAATAACTGAAAAATAACGGTAAAGGATGTATATAATTATAAAGAATGTATACCTTCATAGCACTATTAGCTGCAATAGGTCTCAGTGATATTCCTGTCAATAAAGTACAGACCAAAAAGTGATACCAGCAGCAGTGACTCGCCAATGCCACCCATCCCAACAATCCTGCAATTATCATAAATGAATACTTTATCAACAAAAATAATAAAATCTAGCTATTTTACAGCATATTACAGTTCAAGGGCATAAAATCAGAATAGACCTTTTTTTCCTCGACTGAAACCCTTTTCTCACGGCATTAATAAAAAATAACATGACAATTTTTTTTGAAATTCATTTTCTGGTAAAAGATCAGCCTAAAATTTAAAACCAGAACCATCAATTAGAAACAAAGCATGCATTCAATTTACATTTGTACATGCACTACTGCACATCAGTGTTGTCAAGGCGTGCACTTGGGCACGCCTGCACGTTGCGTCTTAGCAGTAGAGAATAAAAAGTGCCTCAGACACTTTTGGGTGAGGCCTATTTAGTCAGGCACGTCTGGTGCGCCTAGGCACGCCTTTTTTGTAAGGCAATAGGAATCGGAAAAGCCTGCCTAATAAAGTTCTCTTTAATTTCTTCCATTTTTCATTAGATATACTTTAACTACTTACTGGTAAGGAATAGTATCAAATTCTATGCTTTTCAATATTTGAGTATTCAATAACAGACACGGGGCATAAGGAAATCATACATATTGACCAATAAAAAATAGCATGTTTTGTAGATAAACTGGATCATACTTTTGAGTTTATTATACCTCTTAAGGTTTATATGCACAAGGTTTATCATATACCTTAAGCTTTCTATATGTATGTATGTATGTACAAGCACACAATACAAAAACTTGCACATAAATAAATTGCAGTTTTTTTTCGGTTAGGCTAGTTCTGTTCTTTTTCCTTCTTTCATTTTTGGGCATTGCACCTGAGGCAACATGAGGGTTCTAGCCAGTTACAACACTGCTGCACATACATGATAAGACAAAATAATGGGCAAACAAATTAAAAAATAAACATCAAAAGAGATCAAACTTACCATGAAAACCGGATATAGTAGATAATACCCAAAATAATACCCATTTTGACATCAGAAGGCTGCTTGATATATGCACAGATCATGGAACAGCATGAGTAGGATGAAAAGTATAGTTTCCTATTTTTTGTTAAGAAAGAGGACAAGGAAACAAAGAATAATCTGACGCATTGCATTGCATAGCATTTCATAAAGCAGTTTCACATATACAAGATTTATCAATTCTTGCTAGCATTTCAACCGAGACAAACATAATTGATAGAAATGCAAGGAAATTAAACATGGGCATCAGTTCCTACCTACAGCATCCTACATAAATTAATTTTGGCTTAAGCATGCATGAAGCCCTCAAACTTTTGAAAAAGAAATCAATTAAACCCCTAAACCTTTGCACCCAATTGAACCTTCAAACCGAGAAATTGAATCAATTAAGCCCTTTGACCAATTTTGACCGTTACGACTTAACAGTTTTTCTGAGATATTACTGCCACACGGCACATTATAGTTCTGCTGCGTGGAATTTGCAGATTTTGTAAAGAAAAATCTAAAAATAGTTATAGAAATTCTAAAATAATTTTAAAATACTCTAAAAACTTTATTAAAAATTAATGAATTTCTGGAAATGCCACTTGGCAACATTGTGATGTGACCTGTAGCCCCAACTAGGGCTGTAAATGATACGAGACAGATCGCGAGCTACTCGAGATCGACTCGATCAAGGCTCGATAAATATTCGGATCGAATGGACTCGACTCGAGTTCTTAACGAGCCGAAACGAGCTACTTGATATTCTACTCGAAAAGCTCGTGAGCAGCTCGAAAACATAATATATTAAGATTTTATTTTTAAAAAAATAAATTATTAATAATATTAACATTTATGTATTGATTTTTTTTTTAAAATACAATAAGATTTTCATATATTTAAGGTTTAGGTTCGAGTTTGAGACTTCAATCGAATTAAGTTTAATTTTTTTTTTATTCATTTCAAGCCTTTTCGAGTTGCTCACGAGCTTCAGTTCAGGATTTCGAGTTCGAGACGAGCTTGAAAATTTTAAGCTTGCGAGTTTTCGAGTCAAATCGAGCTTCATTTTAGAGTTTTCGAGCCGAGTCGAGCTCAACACTACTCGAGCTCGACTCGGCTCGTTTACACCCCTAGCCCCAACTGATCCAAAAAATCGTTAGATTTAACGGTCAACATTGGTCAAAGGGGCAAATTGATGAAATTTCAAAGCATAGGGGCTTAATTGGGTGAATAAATCAGGGGCATAATAGATTTTTTCAAAAGTTTGAGGGCTTTTGGCACGCTTATGTGTACATATCTTAATACCTTAGTATCTAAAAATAAACACATAATTATATTGGTGTAAATATGTTTTTCTATGTGATACACATATATCATATAAAGTCGAGGGACTCGTCTCAAACTTGAAAATCAATATACTAATTACTAAAAAAATTAAATTATTCAAGTTGTATTTTACAAATCGATTTGAATTTATTTTTTTTGAAATGATTCAAATTTATGAAATTACAACTTAATATTTAATTCGTATCGAATCAAAAAATTAATCTTTTTAATTGAGTCGAATTTTGTTCATTTAGTATCATCTACAATATAGAATGCCGAATTAGTTGTTGAAGTATATAGACTTGTCCCATGCAGCTACCATAGAAGCCTACAGCTTTCCTTTAGACCGCCACCATAGGCCGAAACACTGCCATGCTGGCTAGGGACCCAGGTTTGAGCCCATGGTAGTTTATGGTCTTCACAACGATTGTCAGAATCTCCAAAATGGGGATGATATTAAAAAATAAAATTATTATTCAAGGACCTATTTGATATTTTAATAATAATTTAAGGGTAAAACTAAATATTATTATTTTTTTGTTAACGTTATCATTTCATCAATTTAACGAGATGATGGTGGAGTGATCATTTCGTTGCAAATAGATAATATTAGTAATTAATATGTTACTTTTTAAACTTCAATGGGAAAAACAAAAAAAATACTCAAACATTAGTAATCATTTTTGTAGTTTACCCAAAAAAATATTATTCTCTGTAGAAATTTCAGACTTGAACAACTATATTTTTGTAAGGTGTATATGTGTTATCTATGATTAAGAAATAATCTAAATATATAATATCTTGTAATCAATCTAGACTATTAGAAAAATCTTACAAGATTATGAATTCGAATTTTGACGATTGCGAATGAAATAAATTGGCTGAAAGCGTTATCCTAATAGTAGGCTTTTACAATAAATAAATTGAGTACACGTAATTAATTAAAAAAGGCTTAATACTTAAATAAGTGCTCAAATTATATCATTTTTTTTGAATAGGTGCCTATAATATTTTTTGGACTATCCAGTTGTCTAATGTTACAAACATTACCACTTTAGGTGCCCAGTCTGTCAACGATTTTAATTTCTTCTTTTATGTGAAACGTGTTACAATATGATAATTTTAATATGTATATATAATTTAAAAAGAAAATTATATATTTTTTTAAAAAGAAAACACAAAAAAATTTGAAATAACCCAAAAACTTTGAAAACCTTCATTTCAACCTCTAAACTTATGTCAATCGTTGCCCTTTGCCATCGACGAAGCTCCACCTGACCCCACCTCCCCCAAAGACCAAAACCCCTATGAAATCGTGACCGATCGACGAACAATCAACGGTGAATCGACGTTTTATACCCCCGCTAACCTTAGGATGAAAACCGCGATATCACACGATTTCGACGGCTAATCGACGACAACTACGGTGACGTATAATTAGGATGATAGCAGAGACTACGTAAGCGGCAGCGGTCGTGGCTGGAAAAAGTTAGGATTTGGGGATTTTAGGGACTTTGAGGTTTTTTTTTTGTAATTTAAAAGGAATTAGGATTTTTTTATAAATATAATAATATTTTAATATATTTAAAAAAATAAATTTCAAAATTACCATATTATGAAATGTGTCACTTAATGGAGAAAATTAACGGTCATTACGTTCCGAGCACCTAAAGTGATCACATTAATAATGTTAGACAACTAGATGGTCAAAAAAATATTATTGGCACCTATTCAAGTAAAAAGTATATAATTTGAACACTTATTTAGGGATTAAGCCATTAAAAAATCCTAATTTTTTTAGAAGAGAAAAAAAAACTTATTCCAAAACCTTTTTAAAGCCTCTCAAGAAAACAAAATAAAAAGTTAAAAGGGTTTGATGATAAATTAGACGATGAACTGAGTGGACTCGCCCCATAAAACCCTTTTAAAGCCTCTAAGTCTCAGCTAAATTTTAGAAACCTCGAAGACCACTAATCATTCTCCAGAGCTGAACGGAAGGGATATGTCTGTCTCATCCTTACTTTCACCAATCCCTGGAATTGCTTTCTTCTCCGTTTCTGTAAGTCACTTTCTCTTATTGTCTCTGTTCTTTGTTCTACGTCTGTTTAATTTCAACGAAGATGTGGGTACCGTTGCAGAACATTGATGGTAGTAGAAGAGCAGTGAGAAAACCACTGATGGTTAGGAATTTGATGGTGAGAGCTGGTCCAAAGAGGATATTATTCGGGAGAGATTGCAGGGAGGCGTTGCAAGCTGGTATTGATAAGTTAGCTGATGCTGTTTCTGTCACCTTGGGTCCTAGAGGTAAACCTTGCTGCCTCTTGTTGTTTTTCCTTTTTCTTCAATTGGGTGTTCTTATTTCTGTATGATTTCATAGGGTTATTATTGCTTTGCATGAGCATAGAATTCAATATAGGATTACAAAGATTTTGGGAGTTTTAATAACATTATCAGAGACAATGCTTAAGGATACAATCTTTTCCCTTGCAATGCTCACATACATTTGTTAATGCCTTGATTACTTTTTAACTTGTCTTCAATGGAGTACTGACCTGGGGTTTGTCTAGCTGTCATATAGGCACCTCATGCTTAGTGGTGGTGCGCATAATGATTGTTGCGCCTTTTAGCATTAAGCTTTAATGTTCTTTGGGACAAAGACAAGACGTGGTATCGTTCCAATGCCATGGGATTCACAACTAAATGAAGATGAACTTTTTTTTTAGAGAATTTATTTGTTCTCATTGAATGTCAAACTTCTGTTTTCATTAATTTGGTGATGGTGCATGCTTAATATGAGCTGCTAATCTATTTTAGGGGAACCTTGCAGGACGAAATGTTGTTCTTTTTGAGTCTGAGACACTGAAAGTAGTTAATGATGGTGTAACCATTGCCCGGGCTATAGAACTTTCCGATGCTATTGAGAATGCAGGAGCAATGCTAATACAAGAGGTCATTCATGGTTGCTATAGCTTCCTCCCTAAGCTTTTTATGATTTATTTTGGGAAAAATGATTCGGGATATGTAAGTTTTATGTTCTTCAATGCAGGTTGCAAGTAAAATGAATGATTTGGCTGGTGATGGTACTACAACTGCAATTATTTTAACTCGAGCCATTATCAAGTATGGATTGTTGGCAGTTTCTTTTGGAGCTAATCCTGTTTCTCTGAAAAGGGGAATGGATAAGACTGTGAAAGAATTGGTCAAGGAGCTTAAGAAGAGAAGTTTGCCTGTGAAAGGGAAGGAGGAAATAAAAGGTTTTTCTTATTTCATTTTTTTATTAATGACTTGTATCGGCTTTTTCTATATAAAAATGATGATACTGAACTCTTCTTTTCACAGCCGTTGCTTCAATCTCTGCTGGTAATGATGATTTCATTGGGAACTTGATTGCTGAAGCTATAGAAAAGATTGGTCCTGATGGAGTAATTTCTTTTGAGTCATCCTCATCAGCTGAAACCTCTGTGATAATTGAAGAAGGAATGAAGGTGTAAAGCTGACTCCAGCTTGCCATTCTTTTAGATAGTGTCTAAAAGAAACCATTGATTTGTGCATAACATAGCAAATTAGATTTTTGCTAAAATCAAAATTTTTGTTAGGCTCTATTTGGTTGATACTTTTACTATTTGCTTGTTGATCTGAATACAAAGGGCAAAGGGAAAAGGGCAAAAAGCAAAAGCACAAACCAGATGAGCCTTAGTATCAAGTTAGAAAAGCTAAGGTTTCAGTTTAGATTTACATCCAGTTTATTCCTCGTCTCGGCATGGTCAGTCATGAAAATTGTGGATTAAACACATTGTATCTGGTTAATATTAAAAGATAGTTTCATTTTAGCCATTCTTTCTTCATTTAACTGCACGTAGCATAATTTTACTTAATAATCTAATTTCTTTGAAACTCATGACTAAATTTGTTAAAGATGATTGAAGAGTTTCCTACTGCTCAGCTTGTGGATTTTTTCTAATCTTTTCATTGATGAGATTTAATATTTTCCCACTGCAGATTGACAAGGGATATATGTCGCCCCACTTCATCACTAATCAAGATAAGTCTATAGTGGAGTTCGACAATGCCAAAGTCCTTGTAACTGATCAAAAGATATCAACCGTCAAAGAAATTGTTCCATTACTTGAAAAGACTATGCAACTGAGTGTCCCTCTGCTAATCTTTGCGGAGGATATCTCAAAGCAAGTTCTGGAAACACTAGTTGTGAACAAAATGCAAGGTTTACTTAATGTTTCTGTTGTCAAATGTCCAGGATTCGGGGAAGGAAAGAAAGCCCTGTTGCAGGACATTGCCCTTATGACAGGTTAAATTGCTTTTATTTTGCCTTTATACAAATCTGCTGATGATCAGCAACGGCTAAAATAAATTTTTTTTGAATGTCTTCTTTATATTGTTCTGCTAATAATTAGCTGAAATTTTAATCTGAGAACCGTGAAGTGTCAGTTGTGTAAAAGGGTCTGTTTAAGCCATCAGGATGCCGTGATGTGTTTTGCATACTACAGTCTTTCCATTATTATAATATTGAATTCCCCCTAAATCTCTTGGGTGCTTCATTTTTTATTATCTTAAAGCATGAATATCTCTTTTCTCATGCCTGTGAGGACTGTTTAGCAGTATGACAATTGCTTCTTCATTCTTGCATTTAGTGTTATATGCCGGCTAACTGATATAATTTCTACATCATTAGGAGCTGATTTTCTTTCTGGAGACTTCGGTATGATGCTCGCTGCTGCGACTTCTGATCAACTTGGTGTTGCACGGAAAGTGACTATAACAAGCAATTCCACAACCATAGTTGCTGATCCTTCTACTAAGGCTGAAATCCAGGCAAGAATAATGCAGATAAAAAAGGATCTAGCTGAAACTGATAATGCATACTTGTCAAGACAGCTCTCAGAAAGAATTGCAAAACTCTCTGGTGGTGTGGCGGTCATTAAGGTTTGCAGCCACGACACATGATATACTGAGATTGAAAGGCATAACCTAACGGTTTAACCACATCTCTTTCCACTTCTAAATGGTTAAACAATGAGCATCAAAACTGTAGGTAGGAGCATATACTGAGATGGAACTTGAAGACCGTAAACTAAGAATTGAAGATGCAAAGAATGCTGCATTTTCTGCCATGGATGAAGGGATAGTACCAGGTGGTGGCGCAACTTATATACATCTTTCACAGCTGATTCACAAAATGAAGGATTCTATGGAAGACATGGATGAACGAATTGGTGCTGATATTGTAGCAAAAGTATGTGTTTGATTTGAGACTACCTTATGTTGGAGTCAACTTTCACTTTATATGTATCGAAGTCTTTGTCTATTGTTTTCCCTTCATCTTTTTAGTGTTATTAGAGTTCTTACTGCTTGCTTATATTGGTTTTAGAGGATTAAATTTTGACATTTTTGTCTGATGGAATTCAGGCACTCCTTGCACCTTCAAAAGTAATTGCAACAAATGCAGGTGTTGATGGAGAAGTTGTAGTGGAGAAGACTAGAAGGTTTGATTGGCGAATTGGGTACAATGCAATGTCTGGAAGATACGAAGACCTTATCAATGCTGGAGTTATTGATCCTTGTCGAGTTTCAAGGTGTGCCCTACAAAGTGCTGTCTCTGTTGCTGGGATAGTTCTAACCACCCAAGCTATAATGGTAGAGAAAATGAAGCAGCCCAAGCCAGCAGTCCCACTTGTTCCAGGAATAGGTCCTTGAAGAAAAAGGAACACTGATGGATTAAAGCTGAAGAGTATCTGAAGGAGCAAAGCTGCTGTATTTGCAATGATTAAAACCAGCCTGTGAATTGGGTTGGCTTGATTCTTGAGAACCAAAATGGATTTTATGATGAGAGCCTCAAATACTAGGTATACAAATGCGTACTGAATTGTTTCCTTGTAGCAGTACAATGTATTTGTTCACTGATTCCATCAGGGGAGGTCTTCTCTTCCCATTCGCCACCTTTCTTCGACATCCCTGCAGCTGGTAGCCCCATTTATTTCCTTTTACAAAACTCATTTAGCTGTTTGTAAATTGTTTTGAACTGACGTATTAGAAGCATCCTGAAACTAGATGATTGATAGGTTGGGTACTAAAATAAAACAAAAACTAAACGTTTGGCGTGATTTTGAAAAAAAATAGAAGTTCAAGTACTAAAACATATAAAAAATAGATAGTTTAAGTATTAAATATGTAATTTACCTTTTTTTAATAGTATGGGTAATTAAAAGTAGTATAGGTTATTGATAATGTATATACAATATCCATACGTATACGTATCTGTTCGAACTTAAAATCTAAAAAAAGAACAGTTTTCTCTTCAATCACTGAGATTATTCAATGAGATTTAATAACCAACTTCTTAAATCATCTCAAGGTCTAAGTACAAAACCCGATAAAGTTTTCAAATTGAAAATCAAAGATCCCAAGATTCGAATTAAAGGCTTAAAACAAATCAAATTATCTTGAACTTAACTTGAAAGCTTCAACATTCAATTCACTTTAAGCTCAATCATCCCAAAATTTAGATTAAACTAACCCGAGCAAAATTAGGTATCTATATTTTGGTTATTTTCAATTTGATCCCTAGTGCATGTATTACCCTTTTAGTTACCGTGTGACCATGTTTTAAGTCTCTCTTACTTTTGTATGCTTAATTGTGTCGGAAGTGTAAGAAAAATACTCAATGTTTTGTTTGTTTATTCAGTTGTTGCTCTAACATTATCATTTTATGTCGGTAAAATTATTTATAGTTAATTAATCCTCAATTAATTATAAGAAAAATGGATAATTATACAGATCACATTGTATACCAAAATCACTACTAAAGCGACATACCGAAATACACCACAAACAAATTTATCCTTATTATGCAAATATTAAAAAGTATAATGATTTATTTAAAATTAATTATTTATTAAAATTTTATTTATAATTTTAATAGAATTTTATTTTTTTATTAAAAATAATAATTAATTTAAGTAATTTAATTTGTTTAGAATTAATATTTTTAAGTTATATAACTTAGAACCGACCATCAGCATTAGTCACCGCTGAAGACCACCTTCACTCACCGTAAAATCAATTGCTGCAACGATTAGCGCTTTAGTTCATTGGAAAATCAATCACTCTTGTTATTTTTAATAAAAATGATAAACTACACGTGTAATACCTAAACTATTACTTGTCTTCTGTTTTAGTACCTCAACTTTCAATTTTTCAAAATCATACCTAATATTTACTTTTGGTTTCATTTTAGTATCCCACCATTAAAAAGTTAATGGCACATTTGACGTTGTATTTTTTATTTGCGTAAACTGCACAATTCATCACTCAATTATCTTCTCATTCCTATTTTGATCATTAAAGTTTAAAATTTTTGAATATAATCATTAAACTTTTGAATTGCTTCTATTTTGATCCTTTTGGACTATATTATTATTATTATTATTATTTTTAGTATGACATGATAAATTAATTAATAGTTAATATCAAATAAGATTTAAAATAAAAATAAAAATAAAAATTTTAATCCAACCCTTAATCCTCAAACCCCAATTGTCGATCCAAACTCTAACCCCACCGCATCACCCTTCGACCACCACATAAAAATCTCTTGAAAAATCATTTGCGAATTGGAAACAAATGAACACAGATAAACAAATTTAAGTGTCAAGAATACAACCACCACCACCACCTTCACAAAGACAAGTTAAGAAAAATGTAAACATTGCTCAATACCCATAATTGAAACAACAAAATGCTTAGAATTTTTTTATATAAAAACAAAAATAACAACAATAAAAGGGAAAACGCATAAAGTGGATGAGAAGGAAGTTGCCATCCATGCTTCCTCATTTCCTCTTAAAACGTTGCAGTTCCCAAAAAAAAGTAAAACTAAAATAAAGAAGAGATAAAGAGTATGATACAAAAAAAAAAAAAAAAACTAGGTTTCTGTTTATACTTATTTTTTAGGCAAAATAAAGATAACTCATTTCACTAACCAAACAAAAGCAACACTACCCCATTTTTTATTTTCACAGGCATAATCATAAAATCAAAATGAAAAGAATAAAAAAAATAAGAACAAGAACTTGATGAAGATAGGTATGGACTGCAAGATTATTTTTTTTTTAAATTTTTTGTGTAGTTTCACTCAATCGTAGCACTGGATCATGCAAAGGAAGAGAAGGAAATGAAAGAAAAACAAGGGCTAGTATGGGTTTTTGGGTATTCTTTTTTTCATGAAGATGGAATTAAAAATAAATTTAGATCGACGTTGGGGTTTGGAGATTTAGGATTAAGATTAATGATTTTGATTTTAAATTTTATTTGACATTAATAATAATAATAATTTGTCATGTCATGCTAAATATAATAATAAAATAATCTACGTCATCAAAGAGAGATCAAAATACAAGTAATTTGAAAGTTTAATGATTAAATTTAATTTTTTTAAAATTTTAGTGACCAAAATAGAAGTAAGAAGATAGTTGAGTGATGAATCATGTAATTTACCTAAATAAAAATACCACGTCAGCTGTGTCGTTAATTTTTTAATGGCGAGGTACTAAAATGAAATAAAAATAAACGTTGGGTATGTTTTTGAAAAAAAATGAAAGTTGAGGTACTAAATCGGAACAAAAGTGTAATTTAGGTACTAAACATGTAGTTTACCCTAAAATATTATAATTTAATTATAATTCTATTAGAATTATAATTAATTTTGAATAAATGAGTAATTTGAAATAAATCCTTATACTTTTTAACATTTACATAACAAGAGCAAATTTGCTTGTGATGTGTTTTGGTACGTCACTTTAGTGGTAGGTTGCCGTATGCAATATGCGCTGTAGAATTTTTCTAAAAAAATTATTTAAAAAATAAAACTTTTAAAAGTTAAACGGTTAAAAATAAAATAAAATGGCAAGTCTGAAGACTTTTTTTTATCATTGGACCATAATAATAATAAAACAAAGGGTAAACTATATATTTAGTCACCCAACTATCACTTTGATTCTATTATGGTCACTCAACTATTTTTTTTCAAAATCATCACTAATGTTACATTCTAGTTTCATTTTGATCACCCGCTGTTAAAAATTTAACAAAATTGTTGACAAAATATTTAAAAAAAAATTCAATGATGACGTGACATTACCTTATGGTGACACATCAACAACAACAACAACAACAAAACCCAATTCCCATATGTATGGGGTAAGGGGGAGGTAGGGTAGTAGGCTGCCCCCAACGCCAGGTTGAGAATAGCTTCCGTGAAAGACCTCCGGCAGTCAGAAAATTAAAAATATAGATAAAATGCAATGCATGTATAAATAATTACATAAATACATAGTTAAACAGTATTCATATGCAGTCATTAATATCATATGTGCTTCTGTAATGGGGAGTAATCCCTGCAAAATAATCCCTGCGAAAGAGTCTCTGCATATAGACAGAAACCTAAGACCCGGCTAAAAATAACATAGGAAACATGATGAGAATGATACACATGAGACAACGATAGTAAGCCCAGTTCTAATATTTCATAAATACCAATAACAGAAAAGTATAAAAAGTAAAAGTCAAGGAAATAACTACAAATGCATTTAAAAGAAGACAAAGATGATACACCCTATAGATGTGACCCACACTACTCGACTACCCTAGTCTTAAGCCTCCATAATTTCCTATCATAGGTCATGTCTTCGGTAAGGCCTAAATCCCTCAAATCAGATCTCAAGCAGTCATCCCACTTCCGCCTTGGTCGTCCTTTCCTTCTGGCACCGTCGACTGTAATCGACTCTACCCTCCTGACCGCATCCGACGGTAGTCGCCTAAGGACGTGTCCAAACCACCGTAGTCTTCCCTCCCTCATTTTTTCGGAAACAGACATCACCCCTAAGGACATCCTAATAGCAGAGTTTGTCGTCATATCCCACAGAGTCCTACCACATGTCCATCGAAGCATTCTCATTTCTGCGGCCTCTATCCTCCTAACGTGATCCTTCTTGGGTGCCCAACATTCTGATCCATACAACAGCGCTGGTCTTATTGCCATTCTATAAAATTTTCCCTTAAGTTTTAGAGGCACCTTCTTGTCACACAAAACTCCAGTAGCAGCCCTCCACTTTAGCCATCCCGCCTTTATACGGTGTGTAACGTCATCATCTACACCCCCATCTTTATGTATCATAGACCCTAAGTACTTGAAACAATCCTTTGAGGGAAGAACGTGTCCTTCGATGCATACTTCTACATTTTCATCATTTTGGTTCCCACTGAAGTTTGAACATAAATACTCTGTCTTTTCAATATTGATCCTTAAACCTTTTTCTTCCAAAGCAGTCTTCCAGGTAGCCAGTCTGCTATTCAACTCAGATTTTGTTTCAGCCACTAAGACAATGTCGTCAGCGAAAAGCATACACCAAGGTACACCGTCTGGTGTCGCACAATAGATGTCGTCCATAATCAAGGCGAAGATGTAAGGGCTAAGAGCCGACCCCTGGTGGAGTCCGATTTCCACCGGGAATGCCTCGGTGTCGCCAACTGTAGTCCTGACGTAAGTAGTAGATCTACAGTACATATCACGAATCGTCCGGATATAAGCAGTTGGTATCCGTCTCGTTTCCAAAGTCTTCCATATCGTATCGCGAGGAACGCTATCATAGGCCTTCTCAAGGTCAATGAACGCCATGTGGAGATCTCTAGACTTTTCCCTATATTTCTCCATAAGCCGTCGAAGTAGATGAATCGCCTCCGT